AACAGCCACCGTGCCTCTCCGACCTATTTAGTTGTTTCAATTGTTTTCCCTCCATTGTCCTCGGTGCTTCACTGCTTCGGCCATCCTGCATGCCACGCTTTCATTTATCTTGAGGTACTAGGGCAACGATAATTTCTATGTTGTATGTGATATCTCGGACAATGTTCAAGAGGAGTACCAGAGACATTTCTAAAATGCACATCATGGAGACAATACGGTAAATCTAGTAGGCTCGAATCACTCATCATCTTGAGAGCGCCTCTGATTTGATTGCTTTTAGCCAAATCTGAGTGGAGTCCTGATCAATTTAAGTTTTAAATATATGCAAGAATTGACCTGATCAATTTTTTGCCCCGCTCAAGAAGACTCTGTTCATCCCGTAGGAACGTTGATCGAAGGTAGCCGATTGTACACAAAACGAGTGTAACTATATGGATAGCTCAGTTAAGTGATCATCCGATTATTTGCAAGAAAAAGTGATCGCCCGATTGTATGTCACACATATGTTGACAATTTTGCATAAGAAATAAAGTGCAAAACCAAATGTTATGAGGGATATGACTGACCTACAAAATTAAACAGCTCACTCAGAGACAATCTCTATTATTAAAAGGGAGTTGGTGCTATACATCATCAAATTTGTTTTCGCTCCCTCCCCTCTTGACCCCTCTTCTTGGTTTGGAATGATCTAAAACAAGTTACTTTCCTTGGAAACCATGCTCTGCATTAATTCAATCAAATTAAATAAAATATTAGCAAAACCTCAACTAAATCAAGCTTTCCTTGCCTTCCTCTATTCATTCCCGAATCAAATCAAATCTTATTGAAACATTCTAAAACACTGGTTTACCGCTCACTGTGTTTTGACTACACATAATTTCACAGCATTTTATCTCTCTGCAGAGTTCATGATAACATGCTTGGCGGCATATCAACATGACTTGTGATATCCGAGACATTTTTACTTGTCTGTGCCTTCGCGCGGCTTGTCGCATTTTCTTTTCCCGCTTGGTGATTAGTTCTAGTTCATGACAAATTATTTTTCCATGTGCATCATATAAGGAAGAGCTATTGTATGACCTGATTGCTGATGATGATATGTCTGTCATCCATCATTCCCGATGAGAATAAAATCAGAGCTCGTTTATCGGTCAGAGAGACCAGTCCCACAGCAATCGACGACGGCGACGCTCCGTGACTGCGGCCGATGTCCGAATAGGAGGAGTGGGAGCCTCGGAGCACGGTGGAGCCGCCGCGTGTCCGCCGTCTGAACACGATGGCTGATCCGGCGCTTCGGTCGCCGGGCTGCCCGCCAGCCGTTCGACGAAATGCCGGAGCCTTGCACGCCTGGGCCACGGCAGCGCCGCCACGCGGGAACAAGCAAACAACGGCGCCGAGCATGACGTTGAGCGAGCGAGGAGGAGCGACTCCAGGGTGCCTAGCCGGTGCAGGGGCGCAAGCACGCGGCAGGCGGCTCACCGGTGAGCATTAGCATCCACACAAGCTATTCTTCTACTAGTTCGTTCAACGACGCTGCTATACAGACGACAGATTTGGACGATCAGCGGACGACACTACACGTCAAGCCGTTGATGTGTTAGAGCAAAAGCAAACAACACCGTTCATTCCTGCATCATGTGGGGTTCGTCCAGCTAGTATCGTCCGTCCAGCAGTTTCGTTCGTTCAAAAGAACAATTTGTTATTTTGTTCTAACACTTATTGTCCTTCACCATGTTCAACTGTTAGCTTCAACGATCACATGACGCCGTTCCATCTCCGCCCAATAGACGCACACGCACATCTACTCTTAGGCTGGTTGTAACGGGGAGTATTATATAGTAGTATCATGCATATGATACTATCTCCCTAATGCATAGTATTATATATTAGTATCATCTAGTATTCTATTTATTGCCATGCATGACACAAAGTAGCATAGCACTTATTATGATACATTATCATGATATGATACTTCACAATCTCTTTCTTCATTTAATGCTATAACACCTCATCAAAATTGCCTAGTTGACATGCATGATACTAGCTATGATACTATCATTACGACTAGCCTTAGCAAGCTAGCCATTCGGCGCGCCTCGATTAGTCTGTTAATTATGACATACCAGTAGAAAATCATGGATGGTTACTTGACTCCTACTCAATACTCACTCCGTGAAGTGGTTATTCACACTACACTCTGTCCTAGGTTCCCACTTACAATTTGGACGGATAGTCAGAGTGTGCACTCCAACAAAGAGAGAGTTTAAGGCTTTTTAAAGTACAATCTTGCAGTACGCATGGCTACAATAGAATATGTAAACAAGATTGTGGACTGCACCAGGTCCGGGCCTCCAGCCTTCACCGATAAATGGCTGCCGGGAAGGCTCCAAAATGTTCGGCGAGGAACGGCCAATCAAAGCCACGTCACCTGATGTTCTTGCTAATGTATTTTGCTCAACCACAAGAGACCTTGATGTTTTTACAGTTCCTCGTTTGTAGCTGCAAAGCTAAATATCAAACTTCATATAGGAGCCTTGATTGTTCTAGGACCCGAGACCCGTATGAATATGATAGGAGGAACCATTTATGGGGAAAAGGGGAATCTTGCGTTTAAAAGCTTCACTTGGTAGATCTGCAGGTTTTGCGGGGGACCAGATTCGTGATCGCGCTTAATCTGCTTCTAGGTGTTTGAGCCAATTCCTTATGGATTTGTTTACTTCCTTTTAAAGTAGGCAACTATGTTATGCCACACTTACTATGGTGGCTCACCTGTCATTGACACATAGTTTTGCCGAAGCTGCCAAAGTTTTGGTGACTGCTTTGTCTACCTCCAAAATGAAAAGGGAAAAGGTCTGCAACGATTTATCGAACTACTCCTACTGTGGTGGGGTAATGTAAGTGTGAGTAAAATTTCCGCCTTCGAACAGTTTAAACTAAAATTTATGCCACACTTGCCATTTTGTGAGGTATAAGAGTAGCATCTTTGAAAGGCATAAAACTAGCGACTACAGCGGAATCGACAGGAGCCACCATGACAGCTATTCCCTCTGCTATAGTACTGTATTTGAAGTTTGCGTTTTATATGGTGCAGTCTTCAACTGGTCGCTGGCCTATAAAATACAGAAGTTGCTGTGTTGGAAAGAGCAAGAGGCACAGTCCTTCCAGAGATACGTGCATTAGCAATGGAGAATGGAAGGGGCTGGTGAAAGGGATGAGATTGGACGCGAAGCTCACCATGGAGGTGCAGTGCAGAGTGGTGGCGAGCACAAGGACAGCACTACTGGTGACGAAAAAGATGAGGAATTCCAGGTGCAGGTATACTACTACATTTTTGTGCATTTCTAAGGTTGAATTAAGTTGTGTACTTGTTTCTGTTCAGTGTGAACTTTTTTGCTGCATGGTAGCAGCCAAGATGGAGGAAGTTCTTGGCTCATGTTGGGCCTGGGGCTCTTGTGGCCATTGGCTTCTTGGATCCTAGCAACTGTAAGCTCCTTTATTTTTGCTCAGAGCTGCATACCGTTTAGATACACTCTTTAACAAAAAGGAGACCAACTTTCAAGGTGGTAAAGCTTGTTTCTGATGTATGATTTGACAGTGGAAACTGACATGCAAGCTGGAGCTGACTTCAAGTATGAGGTAGTTTAGTTGCTGCCTTCTTGCCTCTGATGGGCACTACTGCACTAAAGGAGTTTTTTTGGGGGGTATCCAGAAAGGAAACATATATTTTGCAGCAGATTAGCTTTGCAGCTTTAGTTAAGTTTTAAGGAAGTGATAAGAATGCTCTTAAATTTTGCATCATGCGCCTTTTCTAAAAGACAATTCGTACAAATTTGGATGAGAGTACCACTTATGGCAGTTCGCTTAGTGATTGTAACCTGAGCCAGGGTCCGGTTTTTCAAATCCTTGGTGAACAAACTCGATTATAAACCCTGTTTTCAATGCTAAATTGCTTATTGCATATGTAGATCACAACATTTCAAACACTTTTCCCCAGACTATCAATTGGTCAACATAGAACGACATGATATCTTATTTTGTAGAAGTACATTTACGTATAGGGCCGGTTTTATGCTACTCCGTCCGATCCATATTACTTGTCTTTTTGTCGGGATACGGATGTACATCCATATCTAGACAAATCTAAGACAAGTAATATGGATCGGAGGGAGTATAATATTACTGATACAAGAAACCTAGAGAAGTGATCAAGAGAAATAATTATTTATACCAATATAGAGTGAAAAGGTCTGTAAGAAAATGAAAGAAGAATGCACTCTACCGGTCATTTCTGTTTCTCTCCTTTTGTTCTACGTATTCAGCATTCTTTCTTTACCAATCTGATTTTATTTTAAAATTTACCATGATCAGCTTCTGTGGGTCATCTTAGTTGGGATGATCTTTGCGCTCTTTATACAAACAGTATCCGCCAACCTTGGAGTGAAAACCAGTACCTTTCGCTCAACTATCTGTCATGGTTTCTGCATATCAAATCTGCACTTATCGCTCAATCCTGTACAGGGAGGCATCTTGCTGAACTCTGCAGGGAAGAGTATCCCCACTTCGTCAATATTTGCTTATGGATCATTGCAGAGCTTGCAGTAATTTCTGATGACTTTTTCGGTAATTTCTGATGATATCCCTGAAGGTTGATCAGTACACCTTATTCGTTACTTCCATTTTATATTTCTTTTCTTTGCTGACTTTTACGTTTGACTAACATATTCTGTATCTACTGCAGTGTTGGGTACCGCCTTTGCATTCAACATATTGTTCAAAATTCCTGTGTGGGCTGGAGTTATCCTCACGGTGTTCAGCACCCTCTTGCTTCTTGGGGTGAGAGATTTGGTGTACGCAAACACAAACCCCTCCTTAGAATTTTTCAGCTATGTATATGTTACATGATTGTTTAGGCAGATATAGGCTACTGATGATTTAACCTTACCATGTATCTTCATGTGTATCACCAGGCCCGGAAACTGGAGTTCATCATAGCAGCGTTCATGTTCACCATGGCAGGCTGCTTCTTCGGAGAATTGAGCTACCTTAGTCCATCTGCTAGAGATGTGACCAAGGGCATGTTTGTCCCCTCTCTGCGAGGGAAAGGTGCTACTGCCAATGCGATCGCGCTCTTTGGCGCTATCATCACACCTAAGCAACTTATTTAGTCATCAGGGTTTGTTCACTGTTCACACCATCCCTGTTGTTCACTATGGTTATTGTGCGTCGATCCATATGGATGCAAAGTTCATAGCGAGCCTTTCTGTGACATTCATGCAGGTACAACTTGTTCTTGCACTCTGCCCTGGTCCTCTCACGGAAGACCCCACGGTCAGACAAAAGCATCAGAGTATCAATATATCAATAAAAAAAAAGCATCAGAGTAGGTTGCACATAGGATAGGAAAGAGCGCTCTAAGGACTAGATGCAGTTCGTTGCTGAGTGGCAAATAGCTCGCTGACGTCACTGTTATATGTTTTGGACAGGCGGCCTGCAGATACTTCCTTATAGAGTGCAGCCTTGCTTTCGTCGTGGCGTTCCTCATCAACGTCGCGGTGGTTATCGTTGCTGGATCCATTTGTAGCGCTAATAATCTCTCTCCGGCCGATGCCGGCGCTTGTGGCGATCTTACTCTCCAATCTGCACCTCTGCTGCTCAGAGTATGCCATGCTTGAGCTGATGGAATGATCGTTCCAGTTTCAAAAGCGTTTGAAGTGCCTTATGTTGTGTAATGCGAAAGGAATAACCGTCAGACATCTGATGTTAGAGTTCTGCATTAAATCCTTGTTTAATTATCATCTTTGTTCCTTTCAGAATGTTTTGGGGAGATCAAGCTCTGTTGTGTATGCGGTTGCGCTGCTAGCTTCTGGGCAAAGCACCGAAATTAGTTGCACATTCGCTGGGCAGGTCATCATGCAGGTAATCATTCCTACTCCAGGTGTTATCCAGTTTATTTATGCAAACTATTCAGAGGCATTCTTAAGCATTATCTATGCCAGTGAGTATAGACATCTTCCCTTCCAATTATGGGCTATGTTACAGGGGTTTCTGGACATCAAGATGAAGAACTGGGTTAGGAACCTCATCACCAGGGTCATCGCCATTGCTCCAAGCCTTATAGTCTCCATTGTGAGCGGTCCGTCAGGCGCTGGCAAGCTAATCATCCTTTCCTCGGTACTCCTCCATGACCTTGTCATGGCTGGCAGGCGGGCCCTCATCAAGACACAAGCACTGACCAGTGGGGTCACCGTAGCAGAGAAGCAGAGTGGTGCATCAGTCGTGTAAACGTTACAGATGGACCGGTGTGGTTGGTGAGGCTGTTAAGTAGCCAGTCTGGTAGCGATCCAGAGGCATCAAGAATTATTGTAATCGAATAGACTAAGGAGAGAAGCTGTCCTTCTCCTTCCCGGCATCCTTCCTCTCTAAGAAATCCCCACCTACCTCCTTCCTCTCTCGATCTAGATCAGGCCCCTAACAGTTGGTATCAGAGGTCCAGTGATCCGGTGACTTGGAGACGGCATACCCCCGACCACGCTACACCAACAAGCAGGCCTTGAAGACAGCGGCCATGGAAGAGCAGCTCGCAGCGCTCATCCAGTCGGTCAAGGAAGGCCGGGCGGCTAACGACGCTCGACTTGAAGCGATCCAGACCTCCCTCGAGCTATGACGCCCGGCGGTGACGAACCTGCAGAACCAGCTCGACGAGCTCCGCACCCAGGTGGGGCGCATCGCCCTCCACCCTGCGCTAGCATATCCTCGAGCGCGGAAGCGGATTCCGCACGAGAAGATGTGGGTCTTCGGCAAGCGGCGCGTACTGGGGAGGAGTCCCCAGTGGCCGATCTGGGGCACCACGGGCCAAGTGGCCACGACGTCATCAACAACTCCAGGGGCATGGTACACGGGGTGGTCACCACCCTGGCACCGCCTCCGGCCAAGGGTGCATTCTATCCTCCTATTGTCAATTCCAGTTCCCACAGCCTAGAGTTGAGTTGTGTTCCAGAGGACGAGTACCACCACTCGCACCAGTCTCGTTGGGCTCTTCCGAAGTTGGATTTTCCACATTTCGATGGGGAAAATCCACAATTCTGGAAATCCAAGTGTGAGAAATACTTCGATGTGTACGACATCCCAAAGAGATGTGGGTTCGGGTCTCTACACTGCACTTTACAGGCAACACAGCGCGTTGGCTGCAATTGCATGAGCTAGGCACGAAAGCATTCACTTGGGAAGAGCTTTGCACTGCTTTGTGCGGCAAATTCGAACGCGACCAGTACCAGGCGCAGCTCTGTCAATTTGCAGCACTTGGTCAGACAGGGACAGTGTCAGAATACATGACACGCTTTGAGGAATTGATGCATCAGATATTAGCTCACAACTCGGGGTTTGATCCTGTGTATTTCACCACCAAATTCGTAGATGGGCTGCGTGCGGAAATTAGAGCGGGTGTTGCATTACATCGACCTCAAGAATTGGATACTGCCTTTTCCTTGTCTCTGTTACGGGAGGAGATATTGGACGCGATGCCTCGAAGGGAATTCTGGCGTCCAGAACCTGTGCGTGTTCAGCGGCGACCCCTGCTAGCACTGGCAGCGCCTCTACCGCGTGCTGTGCTGCCTCCTCCACCAGCCGTCGCAGAGGACAGGCGCGGCATCGACGGGGCACACGCAGCAGATCGGCGACCCGATCAAGGCCGGGGCGACGATTGCGTGGCGGTGCTTCGCAACTACCGCAGAGCAAGAGGGCTCTGTTTTAAATGCGGGGAACGCTGGGGCCAAGGCCACCAGTGTGCTGCCACGGTACAACTGCATGTCGTGGAAGAGCTACTGGATTTGCTTCAAGCTGAGGGGGATGATTCTCAGGAGCATGCAGCGGACGAAGAACAGCTCATGTCCATTTCTAAGTTGGCCACCATAGGGAAAACAACGCCTCGCACGGTCCGTTTGTTGGGGCACATTGACAAGCAAGAAGTTCTGATACTGGTCGATTCTGGCAGCTCCCATAGCCTCATCAGCGAGTCAGTAGCAGAGCGATTTGCCAATCGCATTTGCCAGTTGAAGCCGGTGACGGTCAGAGTGGCATATGGTGGCAAACTCACTTGCTCCAGATATATTCCAGAATGTCAGTGGCAGGCGCAGCCGCACAAGTTTACTATTGATCTGCGGGTGCTTCCTTTGGGCTGCTATGACATGGTCATTGGCATGGACTGGTTGGAAAGTTGTGGACCAATGCTGATTGATTGGACTGAGAAAACATTGCAATTCCACCATCAAGGGAAACCAGTACAGATGCAAGGGTTACGTCAAGAAGTTAAGCAACCAGCACAGATCTCAGTTGAGCAATTAGAGCAAATGGAACAAGCGAACGCAATTGCGGGTGTGGTGATGCTCTGTCTGTCAGATCAACCAGAACAACAGGAACCTCTCCCAGCTGCTATCCAACGCGTCTTGGACCAGTTTCAAGTGGTGTTTGATGAACCGTCAGGACTGCCCCAACGGAAACCATGGGATCACGCCATTCCTCTGGTGGCAGGCGCGAAACCAGTGAATCTTAGGCCATATCACTACACCCCGGAGCAGAAAAATGAGATTGAAGCACAAGTGAAAGAGATGTTGCGGCTGGGGCTTATCACACCTAGTGTTAGCCCGTTCTCTTCTCTGGTACTCTTGGTGAAAAAGAAGGATCACACTTGGAGATTTTGCGTGGACTTCCGGCATCTTAATGCAATAACCATCAAGTCGCGCTATCCAATGCTAGTGATCGACGAGCTCTTGGTTGAGTTGGCAGGTTCCACATGGTTCTCGAAGCTGGACCTCCGAGCAGGCTACCACCAGATCAGATTGTTGTCGGAGGACGAGCACAAAACGGCTTTCAAGACCCACCATGGCCACTTCCAGTTTCGGGTGCTGCCATACGGCGTGACGGGCTGACCTCCAACTTTCCAGGGTACCATGAACATAGTGTTGTCACCCTTGCTGTGAGAAGGAGTCCTCGTGTTCATGGACGACATTCTAGTCCATTCTAGAACCTTGGAGAAACATGTGAGTCTATTGACGCAGGTGCTGCAACTGTTGCAGCAGAATGGGTTCTACGCCAAACGATCAAAGTGTGCTTTTACTCAGAGAAAAATTAGCTACTTGGGACACGTGATTAGTAAGCAGGGGGTGTCAACGGATGACATTAAGGTGAGCACCATGAGGGATTGGCCAGTACCTGATACAGTGAAGAAACTACGTGGGTTTCTCGGGTTGGCAGGATATTACCGTAAGTTTGTCAGAAAATTTGGCATACTTAGTAAGCCCCTAACAGATCTACTGCGCAAAGGTGTGGTGTTTGTCTGGACACCCACAACCGATGCTGCCTTCTGTGCTATCAAGAAAGCTCTGATTAAGGCTCCGGTGCTGGCACTGCCAGATTTCTCAAAGACATTCGTGGTGGAAACTGACGCCAGCGCAACATGGGTCGGTGCAGTGTTGATGCAGGATTCCCACCTAGTAGCTTACCTCAGTCGAGCATTGGATCCTCGCAACCTGGGGCTGTCCGCATACGAGAAAGAGTGTTTGGCCTTGCTCCTGGCCATCGACCACTGGCGCCCATACTTGCAGCACGCGGAGTTCATGGTGCGCACGGACCAAAAAAGTCTCCTGCACCTGACTAACCAGCGCTTGAACACTCCCATCCAACAACGAGCATTTACAAAGTTGCTCGGGCTGCAGTACGTGATCCAATACAAGGCAAGGATCTCAAACAGAGCAGCTGACGCCTTGTCCAGAAAAGAACACATGCGGGATGCAGAGCTAGCAGCCTTGTCAGTATGGAAACATGTATGGTTGAAAGCAGTACGGGAAGGGTACCAGGAGGATGCTGCTACAAAAGAATTGCTAGCGCGCGTAGCGCTGAACCCAAGTGCCGAACCAGATTACCAGCTTCAAGGGGGGTGCTGAGATTCAAAGGGCGTGTTTGGCTGGGACCGGACACTGATACTCAACAACATGTCGTCAGGTCGTTGCATGACAGCGCTATGGGCAGGCACTCAGGGTTTCACGCCAGATAAAACCGCATCAAACACATGTTTGCTTGGAAGGGAATGAAACAGCAAGTGAAAGAGTTCGTCAAGCAGTGCCTGACCTGTCAGCAAGCCAAGACTGAGAGAGTCTCGCCGGCCGTGTTGCTTCAGCCACTCCTATCCCAAAACGGCCATGGGCAGTGATATCCCTCGACTTCATCGAAGGCTTGCCCAAATCCGGTGGCTATAATGCTATCCTGGTAGTGGTTGACAAAATCTCCAAGTACGCACATTTTGTGCCATTGCGACACCCGTTCACGCCCCTTGACATCGCCAAGACCTTCATGCATGAGATTTACCAACTCCACGGGATGCCATTGGGGATTATATCGGACAGGGACCGCATCTTCACCAGTCAGGTATGGCAAGAGTTGTTTCGCCTGTGCAGAACAGAGCTGAGGATGAGTTCTTCGTACCATCCGTAGACGGACGGGCAAACCGAGCGTGTTAACCAGTGCCCGGAAATGTACTTGCATTGTTCAGTGCATTCCTGCCCTGGTAACTGGTCAAAGTGGCTCTTGTTGGCGGAATATTGGTACAACACCAGCTTCCACCCCGCGCTCGGGCGCACTCCGTTCAAAGTGATCTACGGGCAACTACCACGGGAGTTCGGCATCGATCAAGTGGACAGCAGCACTATGTCGTACCTGGCAGCATGGTTGCAAGAGCGCGAAATCCTGATGGACCACCTACAACAACAGCTGAAGAAAGCTCGGGATCAAATGAAGAAACAGGCAGACCGCCACCGTACCGATCGGTCGTTTGAGGTCGGTATCGCGGTGTTGCTAAAGCTACAACCCTTCATTCAAACTTCCATGGCGAGGCGGCCGTTCCAGAAGGCCTTCCGTTACTACGGACCGTACAACATTCAAGCTAAAGTGGGTGCAGTGGCGTATCGACTTGACCTGCCAGATACCAGCATGATTCACCCAATGGTGCATGTATCTTTGCTGAAGAAAGCGGTGGGAGCGACTGTTCCAGTCAGTGCAGAATTACCTCCACCTGACTCCGTTTTGCAGGCACCTCACTCTCCCAGCCAAGTGTTGGATTGCAAGATGGTTCGTTCTCAAGGAGAGCTGCAGCTACGTGCCCTGGTGCAGTGGAGCGAACTACCGGTTGACCTGGCTACTTGGGAAGATCCAGAGAAGCTCTAGGAGAGGTTTCCATCGACACCGCCTTGGGGTCAAGGCGGTTCTCAAGGAGGGGAGAATGTCACGGCTGGCAGGCGGGCCCTCATCAAGACACAAGCACTGACCAGTGGGGTCACCGTAGCAGAGAAGCAGAGTGGTGCATCAGTCGTGTAAACATTACAGCTGGAACGGTGTGGTTGGTGAGGCTGTTAAGTGTCCAGTCGGGTAGCGATCCAGAGGCATCGAGAATTATTGTAATCGAATAGACTAAGGAGAGAAGCTTTCCTTCTCCTTCCTGGCATCCTTCCTCTCTAAGAAATCCCCACCTACCTCCTTCCCCTCTCGATCTAGACCAGGCCCCTACAGACCTCTTCCAGTTCCACCATAGTTAAAAAAATTGGTCATTGCAATGGCTGATTAGTTAATCTGCAGTTACTACCCAAAGAAATAATAATCTCCAGGCTGATTGATGAGCTCGTGGTTCCTGATTTTTTTCTTCTTTGATGTAGATGGTTCTTTCTTTTGAGATGTCGTTCGCTCCCATCCTTCTCCTCAAGTTTTGCAACAGCAGGAAGAAAGTAGGACCCCTCAAGGAGTCCATCTATGTAAGCCTCCAAACAATTTCAACACAAGAAACACAAAATTGCACAATCGACATTCACAAAAGTAACCGTTTATAACACAAAATTACACATAGAAAAAATTGTATGTCACATATTGCAACTTTAGAGATCAGAACTGCGAACACGCATATGATGATCAATGCATGGGTGCAGACGGTGATCATCGCGTGGGCCCTCAGTGTGGCACTCATCATCGTCAACACCTACTTCCTGGTATGGACATACATAGACTGGCTGGCACATAACCACCTCCCAAGGTACACCAGCGCGCCGGTCTTTGTGGTCGTCTTTGCGCTCATGGCTGCCTACCTCGTCGCCGTTGTGTACCTGATGTTTAGGAAAGACATGGTGGTGACGTATGTACCAGTGGCAGAGAGGGTGCAGGGCCAGGCGGAGGCTGGTAGGGCACCGGTGTTGGCGTCCGGTGCAGACGGAGACCAGCCGATGCCGTACAGGAAAGACCTAGCCGATGCCTCAACCACTGGCGGAGCTATGTGCAACCCTACAGGTGCCATGCCTCCCCATCCTTTCCAAATTTACTGAAGAGTTTTTGTAGAGAGAGATTCAGATTGGAAAAATAGAGATGTTTTCCACTATCTTTTCTCTTTGCCCCCCCCCAATCTTCCTGGTCAAGCTCCGCCATTGGCCTCAATGTAGCTAGTATACCATGATGGATGACAATGTGCTCAATGGTGTCCTTTGCTTATGTGATATGGTTATACTTCCCTCAAGCATGTTGTGCATCCTATACATGTTCAGTGCATACAAGTGTAATTACTATTGTGGTTGGTTGCATTTGTTGAAACATCCAGATGTGTGGTGGCCTGTATTTGTGAAGACATGCTAAAGTGAGAGTTTTTTTGGTAGGCTATATGTGTTAAATTATTTGTGAAAATGAATATTGTACACAATCTAGCAAGATTTTAGTATAAAATAATTATGTGTTGTAAATATTTTAAACATCTGAACATGGAAATATACTACGCCAAATGAGAAATGCTAGCACCAATTTTTCCCATGATGCCGCAGTTGCCTGCTTCGGGAGTCGGACCTAGGGTTTCCACCCGGCTTCAAGGTGGAATGAAAACCTCAATGGCACTTCCAAGGATATTGCCCACAATTTTCATCGTCACCGGAGACATCTATGGCCGTAGGTTTAAGCTAATCCACAATATGGGTCTGTCGTCCTCCCCTACCATCAACTCTCTGCCATGACAACCATGAAGAATGGAAGCACCAGCGAGGGCCTTCCAACAAAAGGCAAGCGCCGACACTTCAACCACCACTTGGAGCCGTTGTCATGGCTTCCTTGCGGTTGTCATTGTCAGCCAACCACGACAATCTAAGAAGCACAAGAGCCCCCTCGCGCCGTCCACCATGAGGCTGATGGTTGTAGCCTGCAACATTCTCTGGCAGTGGTGGAGGTGCTTCTTTGTTGCTCTCATCGCCGGGGAGGACGTGGATGCAGCTAAGTTTGCTGGAGAAGGTGGATGTTCCCTCATGAGAATCTGTCTTTGTCAAGAATTTCTCCTACTTAAAAAAGATGTAGTGTTGTGTCGTACACTCTTACTTCGTTTTTGGATTGCCCAGCCATTTCCATTAGTTTGAATTTTGGTTGTGTAGGCTAGTGCACGAAGCTTAACATGGTATCCAGGTCTAAAGTCTTCAGTTTAAGTCCTTGCTTTCGCAATTTCTCTAAAATTTGTTGCTCCTTCCTCTATGTTCATGTAGAGGTCTCTTTAGCCATACCTCTGAGTCTATTCACGTATTGACTTTCCGCGTCACACCTGAGACGGGGTGTTGTAGTTTATATATGGATTGTGTAGCCCTTTTCATCAGTTTGGACTTTTAGTTGCGTTGGCTAGTGCATGAAGCTTAACCTTAGATATGCCCTCTCTCCCTCCTTTCTGTTTTGATTTTTTTTCGTCTCCCATCTTTGATTTGTTTTCATCGATATCGATTTTCTCCGAAAACCGCCTCAACTACCCCACCTCTTATTGACTTATCAAATAAAATCTTTTTTACACAATCACATTAATATGGGCATGTAGATCACTGACTAACCTATTACAATATTTATTCCCCTCTTACAGCACATGGGCAAGTTTATTTTATAATTGGTTAGAACATTACTCTAGCATTTTTAAACAATATAGATAAGCAGGTCCAGACTTCACATCCAACTATGGTAATTTCAAGAGTGAAGTGCATGGTAGGTCTCTAAACTATTTCAGGGGTGTCACGTAGGTTCTCAAACTATGAAAATCGGTATTCAGGTCCTCGAAGTGGAGTAAGTGTGTCATTTTGGTCCAAAATCTGTCCGACCCCGCCTTACCGGCCAGCTGGAGCCGTTAAACCATGACACAGCGGACAGGGGATCCCGCAAGGTAACGGCTGGTGACGGAAATATGCAAATAAATTCAAATAAATTATAGGGAATGATAAATGCATTTTACTCCAAATAAATTAAAATTCATGGTTTCCAAAATTGTTTGCGGATATGGAAAAAAATTCATGACTTTAAAAATGTTCGCGGAAGACAAATTTGAACATGTGTTCGCGAACCACAAATTAATGAACATTCAAAGTCGCAAAAGATAAATTTGGAAATTTTAGCGCTATTTTTAAAGTCGTGAACATTTTTTTCACTATTTATGAATATATTTTGAAACCTTGAACATTTTGTAAATTCCTAAACTTATTATCAAATTCATGGACATGTTTTAACCATGAACATCTTTGTAAATCTGTGAACATTTTATATTCACAAAAAATAACAATTTCTAATTTAAAAAAATGAACATTTATTAATTTTGTGCAAATATTTTTTCAAATTCATCATTCGCCAACATTTTCTCCATATTCGTGAACATGTTTTTTGATTAGTGAACATATTCATTCGTGAACAATATTGGTGGTCTGTGAACATTTTCTTTTCTTTTAAAATTTATCATCCGTAACATTTTTTTAAATCATTAATATTTTTTTCAAAATTCATTGTGTCGCGGACATTTTTTGAAGCCACACACTTTTTTCCATATTTCCAAACAATATTGGTCGTTCCCAAACATCTTTGTATATTTATTGTCCATGAATACTATTTTTAAAGGTGCAAACATTTATTTCATATTCACGGCCTTTTTTTGTTGTTCGCGTCATATTTTAAGATTTATTTTTCATGAATATATTTTCTTTTCTAATAAAATTTATCATTAGCAAACATTTTCTTAAGTCGCGAACATTTTACCAAATTCATCTTCACATTTTTTTCTTAAAATTCATCATTCGCCAACATTTTTTTAAAGTAGCGAACATTTGTCCATATTTGTGAACATTTTTATAAACTAACAAACGTTCTTTTAAATTCGTTAACATTTTTCCATATCCGTGAACATTTTTTTGAAACAATGAATTTGAATTTATTTGCATATTTTCGTCACCGGCCTTTACATTGCGGGCCCCCCTTCTAACATGTCATGGGTCAATGGCTCCAGCTGGCTGGCCAGATGGGGTCGGACAGATTTTGGACATGAATGACATACTTACTGCACTTCGAAGACATGAATGTTGATTTTCATAGTTTGAGGATCTACATAACACATCTGAAATAGCTCATGGACCTATAATGCACTTTACTCCAATTTCAACTAGTACTGTTTTCTGCTTAAGGTTCATAATATTTCTTTAAGGGGGTATACTAAGAATCCAGTTTTACAACCTTCCAAAAAGAAGATAATATGGGCTACATCTTAAGGCAAGACATATGTTGATTTGTTAGCAAATCAGTACCAGATTTAACATGGAATCTATTTTTATGGAATGCATTTGGTATTGTAAGCGTTCATTTTGTCCTAAACTTGGTCAATGTCTAAAGTTTGACTGTGACCATATTCGATATGCAATATAATTTGGCAAGGAGGGAGTACGTGAACTAAATATTTGGCCATGTCCCCGGTGTTGCCTCCCAGGGCTTAATTAAGCTCCAAGTGGGAGACCGAGATAAAAGTAAGGTGCAAGGGTAATATTTTCTTTGATAAGAACTATATAGAATGTTGGTCAACTACCCCACCTGCCACTAGTAAAGTAGTTTAGAATACATGCTCTTTTTTCTTCATGACTAGTCCCGATGAGGAGCCCCAAGAGATGGCAAGCAAAGAAGGGGGAAATAAAAGAAAGAAAAGGATCATGATGAAGCCATCAACAAGCAGAGGAAGATGCAAGGACAGATAGAAGGGTTATCACACGGAAGATTGCTACTACACCTTCCTTAGGGCAAGCATTTTAACTAGGTTGTTGCCTTGCCTGCTATGAGACTCTTGTTAGGTTTATGGTATGTGTTGCTTAAGTCTTGGAGGACATATTTCCTTTATGGGTCATTTATTCAGCTAGTGATTGCTGTTTTTGTTGAGGCTATTCATAACATAGTGCACATGTTGGCAGTTTGGATGATTTGGTTTGTGTACTTCACTGACTACCTTGAGCTGTGGTGATATGGTATTTTTTAATCTGCAACCTAGTTACCATAAATATGCAACACTGGGAAATTTTCATCTGGAGCATTATGAGCCTGCTCCAAGGACAAGTGGTTGCATATCTTGGATAAGGTTGAAGAAAATGCATATGATATGGTGTGTTTTAAGGAGATTAAGAAAGAATCCTTTGACATGGACTTCATTGTGAATCAGATGCCTCATATGATGGTTTCATTGATTCTTGTTGACCTGAACATCAATGAATTTTCCAAGGATAGGGTATGTCAATGCTCTGTACTATAAATTCCGCCTTACCTAGATTTTAGTCTGTCCCCCGCCATAGTTCTTAACTACTAAGGCACATTTGTTTGCCATAACATATGTGTGGAGCGTGAATCGACAGGCATAGTATTGATGGCTTCGAACAAGAAGAAGTATCAAGCATACGTAGGAGCTCCAATCACCCATTTATCTTCATTTTACTAGACAACGTGTTAACAACCACACCAGGTCTTGGAATACCACGAGTCAGATCGGAAATTAAAGAATACCCTGAATTCCCAGTGTCTTCCAATCCTGAACCCATGAACAAAGCAAGAAATATACACCAAAATGTGACATGGATCATATCCTTGCATGTCAACATGTGCTAGTGTAGTACGTAGACACTCAATCAACTCGATTCATGGATGCAACTTGCATAGCGGTATCAATTATATATTCGTGTCTTTTCCTAGCTGGCTAATATGTTATCGTGATACCGGCCTCACCATTTGGTATGCTTGCATTGCTTATGTGCTTGATGGGATAGAAAATTCTCTTCTATTATAGAGTGCAGATATTTATTACTAGGTGGTGGGCTATACCCCTCCTATTATACAGGGTTGATATTTATTATTGGCTAGTGTGCTATACTCTCATTGCGTTCTTTGTGATCCACATATGTCTTTACACTATATATAATTTTGTTTGGTCATGAACTAATTCATATGTTTTTGTGATGAAACTAATTCATATTTTTCTCGCACAAACCATTTGCTTGTGCGAAAACCCTCTCAACATTCTCTCCCC